AGCTATATTATATTGCTTTACTTTACTTTTATTATTTAGCAAATATTAACGTTATTTATATTTAAGAGCCGTATACGCACTCGAGTATTAAAACTTAAAACTACTTGTCTTACGATTATTATACTTCGATAAAATCGTAAGATAATTAAAACGATACTTAATACTTCGCTAAGCGATTACGAATAATAACTTACGTGCGCAAAAGCGTAAGTCTTCGCACTTAATAACGCCGTTTTATTCGTAATAAAGATCTCTTATAAGTCGATATAAACGGCTTCGCTATTTTAAACGTTTATTAGCAACTTTTAATAAATTCGATTATAAATTATATTATTTACTTCGTTTTTCTTTTTAAATGCTTAATTAAAAAGGACTTTAATATATAGCACGATATGTTCGAATTAAAAGTTAAGCTTAAAAGCCGAAGAAAAGACTTTACAGCTTAGTTTAATACTAATAAAATAAATTACATTAGACTTTCGAGCGACTTTACTTATAAAGCTAATTACGTTTTAAACTTGACTTTTTTAAATATCTCGTTTGCTTAAATAATAATTCGCTTCGATCTTTATTCGAGCTTAAACTACGAGACGTAAGTTACGATTATTTTTAGCCGAAGAATTGTTCTTTTAAAGCGCTTTTAATATCGAGTACCGGATTAAAACCTCGAGAAATTCGCTTCGCTTATAACGCTAAGCGTAAATTAATTTTTTAATTTATAAACGATATATTCTACCGAAGAACTCGATCAGCTTGCGATTAGCTTAATTATTGCTTTTAACTTTGCTTTAAAAGTTACGAAACAGCTTGCTCGAAAAAAGCTAACGATTATATTATAATAGACGGCAAACTAATAGATAGCGTATAAGAAATACTTAATAGCGCGCTTTATAATATACAACGAAAAACCGACTTAAAAAACGCGAAACTAGCTCGCTATAATTAAGAAAGCTAAAAAAGCTTATTAAATTTACGTAATCGACGGAGTAAAATCGAATTAAAACTTATATAAAGTTATAAGCTAGCATAAGCTTATTTCGAACTTAAAATCGCTTTTTTTAATAATCAACGACGAAGCTATCGAAGATATTAAAAAAAAAGCGGACGCGTTACGAAAAAGCATCTTTAAACGGTTTAGCGCCGCCGACGATTTCGATTACGATTTATTCGCTAGTTAAAAAGCATTAGCCGGCTCTTTTAAAATATTACGATATTATTAAAAGAAATAAAGTTTTACGTAATCGAAATAATAAGCATTTTACTCGAAACGGATAAGATTATCGTACGATTGCTTAAAGTATACTAGCATTACGTCTATTACTTTTTTTATAGCTTTTTTAATAAGTGTTTAGCTTTTTATTATTTTTCGAATGCGTAAAAGCTCGTTAAAGTCTCGATGATCTTTAAAATAAAAAAAAAGACAAGACTTTTATCCGCTTTTAATAATCGATTGCTTTATTTTCGTATATCTTTAAAAGATTAAAACGTATTATTACGAAAAAAATCGCGTAAACTGCTTTTATTAACGCCGTCTTTAGCTTATAATACGCGAAAGCTTTTTTATAGCGCTTTATATTAAACTTCGCTTCGTGCTTAATATACGATATCGAGTCCGTATTTATAATTAAATACTAAATTATTATAATTATTATAAACGTTTAAAAAGCTTTCGATATAATCTTAACTCGTCGCTTTTTTAAACGTATAACAAAGCAAAGCTAGCTGTACTTATTATTTAAACTAATAGAATCTTTTTTTTTAAACCGCAAAGTCAAAGTCCGATTAAAAAAAGAAATTACGAATACTTACGACGTAAAATGCAGCATTCCGTAAAGATCTTTATTATTACTAATGCTTTATATGCTTTACTTAGCTAAGCTATTTAATTAAGACCGGATATTACGCTTCAAGTACGCTAACGATATTTATTTATATCGCGTTAATCGCATTTTCGATTAAAATATCGTTATGCTTCGAAACGATATCAATTCTATTATTAAGTAAAATAATACTTATAAAATCGCTTTCGCTTCGAAAAAGATCGAAATAATACATTTTTTTTATAAAAAAAGTACGTATGCTTTTTTTTTCGTAATCGATATTATAATTATTCCGTGCATTATTATAAGTCCGAAAGACGAAGATATACTTACGATACGATAGCTTAAGATCTAGTTTAACCGCAAGCTAAAGTTCCGCTAATACGTTCGAAAACGAGCGGCTAAAATTAAAAAAGTCGCTTAGCATATTCGCAATCTCGTTAAAATAATTTACGATTTATTTACGGCTTTATTACGTAAATCAATTATTATTTGCGTATTGCTTTCGATACTTTACGATACGAAAGCGTAATACGCAAAGCGTTATCGCTTAATCTATAAGTCCGGAAAATTAAAAATTGTTAGCGCTTAAGTCGGAAAAATAATTGACTTTATTAATAAAACGATAACTTTCGCGGCGCGCGAAATACTTTCGGTTTAAAAAACGATATTAACGGTAACGCTTTTTCGAAATGCTAAGCTTTTTTTCAGCGTTACGGCTTTAAAAAAAGCTAAAGCTAAGTTTGCAATAAAATTAAAAACGGTAAACGATAAGCATTTATTAATCAATCGAATACTTTTGCGGATTTAATAACGCAATCGTAGCGCGAAGACTATTAAGATTTTCGAGATTAAGATTTAAAAATTAAAAACTCTTTTTTTAAACGTTTTTCGCTTTCGCTTTATCTTTTCGCACTTTATATCGAAAAGTAAACGAGACTCGGCGGACGGCAAAACGAAAAAAGAAGCTATTGTTATATTCGAAGCATAATAGCAATAGCTTTCGTTAAAAAACATTACGATCTTTTCGAACGAATTAAAACAATACGATTAAAGCAATCGATTAATAAGCTACGAGTACGTAATTTATTAAAAACGTTAAAAAACAAGCTACGAATACAGCTTTATTAACGATTGCTTTTACGTTTTTAACGCAAAAGCGATAAAAGTATAAAAAAGCTTCGAACGAATAATATACGTTTATCCGACGGCGAAACGGATCTAGCTTTATATCGATAGTATATTAATCATTTAATGTTTTCGCGAAAATGCTTTTTTATTATCGTAATAAGCGTTCTTAAACGTTTAAAAAGTAATAAAAACTCGAGACGTACGAATACGATAATTTTTAAAGCATATAAGTATTAAAAAGAACGAATAAGCGGATAAGCTTATAGATTTAAAAGCAAAGAAACCGGACTAAAACATTAATCTAGCATCGTAACTTACGATTAACGGTATTCGTATACTCTTTTGCGATATACGAAATAAAGTACGAAAAGCTTAATAAAGCGCAAGCTCTTTTAAGCTTTTACGCTCGTATCGAAAATAAAGCTTTTTATACTTAATTAAGCCTTTTTCGAAGCTAAAACTTTTATAATATATCTTATATAGATTACTTACGATCCGAATTACGTATAAAAACTTTACTTAATATTATATTAAGTCTTAATATTACGACGCTAACTTAAAGTATACTTGCGGCAAACGCAAGTCTTTTTTGCATTTAGCTTTCTGCTGATTTACGTAACGACGCTTTTTCTTTTAGCTTTATAAGACTCGATCGCGGACCTTTTTAAATACGATCTCGAAAGCTTACGACTTTTTTAAAAGTCTTTTTAATAATCCGGCCGATTTTTAAGCTTTTTTAACTATTATAAAGTTTTACTTTAAGCATTGCACTTGATAAAGATGCTACTTTAGCTAATTAATATTGCTTTAATAAAAAAAAACGAAGTACGCTCCGCTTTACTTAAGCTATAAAAGCTCGTCAAATCAATCGCGTCACGGGACTAAGACTTTAAAATAGCGTAGTACGCTTCCGAAAGAATATTCTTTAGCACGGATATATTATATTAGGTTTTCTTTTAAAGTTTAAGGTTTTTGTATTTACCTTTTCTTTTCTTTTTATACTCGGCTAACCTCGGTCCGGCTTTGATTCTTATCGCTACGCGACGTGAACAGCTCGCTTTTAGCTAGCTATAGCAGTCTATATCTGCTTGATTCTTTCTTTTATAGTTTTCCCTTGATAAGAGGTTTCCTTTCTATATAATTTATCTTATCTGTAAAAGAAAGGCGCATGCGACAATAGCCTTCGCTATAGCACTTTGAATTGCTTTCTAAAGCCTTTTTGTATGTAACTCCTTAGCTTAGCACGTCGCCGTACCTTATAGGAGGTCTTAGGGCGGCAGGCTTCGCCTGCTATCCGCCCGACGTAAATAAATACAACAATAACAACAACAACAATATAGAAATGATCCACCGGATTAGATGACTTAGCAACCTTATAACTAACTACCTTGGAATTTGATTTAGATCATCGTTGTGACAGCCTGCCTTTTTACCTGCACTCCGCTGATCACTTATTCAGGCCTATCGCTTGTGGCCATATATATAGACCTTCTTGAGCTCCTTGAGCTTCCTGTTTCCTTTCCCCACTTTTTATTCTAAGATCAGAATTCATCAGTTCGTTATAACTGTTGATGATAATTAATTAGACCTTTTATATTTCAGACCTTATACTACGAGTTTCGAAGCAAAAGATAAGTGAAGCAAGAAGCGCAAGTTAGAGCGAAAGTATTAAAGGAATTGGACTTATAGGAGTTGGGAGTTTTAGATCCGAGAAGATCGGCAGTACTTAGGAACGGGGAAATATGAAAGGAGATTATATAAAGCTTAATTGAGCGGTCTTTGCTATAACTAAAGAACTGCTAGCATCGGTCCATTGAGGTCATTATAGCCGTAGCTAAAGATAAAAGGATCGAGAGTAGTTAGCCTTAAGAAAATTCCATGCGCCCGTTGCTTTCATGAATAACCACGGCCAACCTTTCAAAATAACAACCAACCATTATCAATACTATAACCAAACTGATTAGTCTTGACTATCAATCATTTGTATACTCAACACTTACTAATACTATTATCCAATCTTTCTGTTCTTCTTTTAATACTTCAGACCTCTTACGGCTGCCTAACGTTTCGATCTTGATTTCGCACCAATTCCGCAATATCAGCGAAATCGTCTAAAGGATATGCGCCGAGCGGCTGCATGCCAGCGGAGCCGATCGATCCTCTTATACCATTAGAGAAAAGGGCTGGACCGGCTAGGCCGATACCAAGGTTGTTTATAGCAGCGAAGCCATCGCTGTTGGAGCCGTTCGTACTCATGGTGTTATTGCTATCGAAGTTGGGCCAGTTGCCGAAATCAATATTACCTCCAGCTTCGGGAACGGGGAGCTGGCGAGAGGGTGGTGCCCAAGCTGGAGCGGGGATTAGTGGTTGTGGATATTGAGAAGTAGGTGACTGGTATTGCTGCAGCTGTTGTTGCTGTTGCTGTTGCTGTTGCTGTTGCTGCGGCTGCGGCTGCGGCTGCGGCTGTTGTTGCTTCTGCTGCCTATCCAAAACCACCTTTTCATTAGAAACACTCGCGTCCGCATTTCTATTAATATCCAGGATCTTATCCAAGTCCGCATTTGGATAAGCGATTGAGTTGGTGTGCGAGTTTGGATTGGAGTTGGTAAATGGAGGGGTGTTGAGCGTGGGCATGTGCATGGGCATGCTCATTCCCACTCCTATTCCTAAGCCGTTGCTTGTGCCGGAGGCGCCCGGGCCGAAGGCGCCCATTCCTATTCCCATGCCCATTCCTATACCACCGGGGCCTATGCCGGCGTTGTTCAAGCCGCCGTATCCCATCCCGGGTCTCAGGCCGGCGGTGTCCAAGCCGCCGGGTCCTATCCCGGGTCCCATCCCGGGTCTCATGCCGGCGGTGTCCAAGCCGCCGGGTCCCATCCCGGGTCCCATGCCGGCGGTATCCAAGCCACCAGGTCCCATCCCGGGTCTCATACCGCCTCTCATCCCGGCGCTAAAGCTTAGATCGGTATTCAAAGCATCAAAGTTACGAAAACCTTGATGGCCGAAGCCAGGCTCGAATCCAGATCTAAATCTAGTTCCGAATCCGCCGAATCCAGGTCCAAAGCCAGTTCCGAATCCGCCGAGTCCAGCTCCACCGGCATCTTCTTGACTCTGCCCGAGATTCGTTTGCTGGTGCTGCCGCTGTTGCATTTGCATATTCGAAGCCGGACCTGAAAACTCATGTTGGTTTCCATCTTCATTCCCATACAACTCCCCATACCAATCCGGATACATTGCATTGCTTTGCTGCAGCGGCTGGAATTGCATCGGTTGCCTTGGCTGCACCGGCGGCGCTAGTTCCATCGGCGGCAACGACGGGATTCGTTGCATCGGTGGCAACGACGGGATCCGTTGCATCGATGGCAATAATGGGACTGCTGATAATTCCTTTGCTTCCTCTTCTCCTTCGGCATCTAAATTATCGTTTTGATTATCGTGGTTATGATTATCTTCATCGTCGGCATTAATAGACATCTTTGGAGTCATAACGCGTCGTGCTCGCTTTTTAAGGGCTCGGATGCGGGTACGGCGATCTATTGCGAAAAGGAGAAGGAAGGAGGTTAGCTAAGTTTCTTCTTATCTTGTAGGAGGGGGGGATAAAAGGGCGCGGGCGGGAGCGGGGTGGGAAGAGGAAGAGCAATAGGAGGGATAGTGAAAGAGGAGGAAAAAAGGAAGGAGAGACGAACCTCGCGCAAGCTTTTTCATTTTTCCGTTAAGGAAGTAATCGGCGGGATTGAATTCAAAGTCTTCGGAATCGGAATCGGAATCGACATTGGACTTGGATGCGTAATTGTATTTGAGGTTAGCTAATAAAGTTTGATAAGTTAGCTTCTCTCCTTTTTTTTCTTTCTAATAAGCTAACCTAAATAATATATAAGAAAATGAAAGAAAACTTACTCCTCTTACTCTTCCTCATCCCTTTCCCCTTTCTTGAATCTCTACCCATCATCACCCCTTTTCCATTCTTCAACTCCTTATCTCTTTCTTTTATCTTCTCTTGTTTATTGCGTTCATGCTGCATTTTTCGAGCTAGCTTTTCCGCGAGGATTGTTAGAGGAGTGGGAGTAGGGTGGTTGGCGGCTTGAGCTTGGTATAAATCGTTTGGATCTTGGTAAGCTAAAGCTGGATCTGGATAATATTAGTTTTTATTTATCTGTTCTATTATATTTTCTATGAAAGTAAAAGTGAAGATGAAGTATTTGATTTCATTTGGTCTTACCAATGTGAAGAATTGATTAACTTACTTTCTTCTCCTTCTTCGCCTTCGACGTCACCGTTCTCATTCTTCTCTTCTTTCTTAATCAAAATCTCCCAAACCCCTAGCTCGGTAATAAGGCTTTTCATGCGGAGCGTAAATGGTGAAGAGGTAATCTTTTGGGATTCTTCGTCGTCTTGATCGTCTTCTTGCTGCTGGCGCCGGTTTTCGTCTTTGTTTTGGTGCTGCTGGTCTTGAAGTCGGATTTGCTGGTGCTGCTGCTGCTGCTCTTGGTATGTCTGGCTTGATCGAAGTTGGTCTTGCTGGTCTTGGATTTGGAATCCTTGGTCTTGGCCTGCTTGGTTTTGCTGGAAAGCGGGAGACGAAGAGGTTCGGTTTTGCTGCTCCCTTTGAAATGATGCCGGAAACCTCGCGAACGCATGGCGCTTGATTATCTTCTTTTGGGTATTGTTCCAGAGGATGCGTTTGTGTGCAAGAGTTTGGGTTGGGGTTGAGAGGAGGAGGTGGATAAGGGCGGAAGAGGAGGAGGAAGCGGAAGGAGATGGAGAAAACATTTCTGGAGAAGACATTGTCTGATTGATTGATTTAGTAATAATTGGTGTTAGTACTAAGTGGTTGATTAGTAGTTGATAAGTTGATATTGATAAAAAGTAGTAAATAAGTGAAGAATGTAAGTGTAAGGAAGATGGGTTCAAAAATTATTTGTACGTACGTTTATCTGCCCTATATATATTAAAATATAAATGAATGATATTAAAGCGGAGTACCTTTTACCGACTTTATTTTACATGGGTAGGTCTTAGAAGCAAACGAGCATTTGTACTTTTGTCTGTCTCAGAATGTGTATGTATGTATGTGTATATGCGTATGTATGCGTATGTTTATATTTTTTCAATTTTACAAGGGTATAAGATATCAAAGTGATTAAATTAAAGGAAATGATTGAAGTGATTCATTTGTTTTTTAAAAGTATTTATTTAAAATATAAATAAAAGCGGGCCCGAGTTTACCCATTTTATTTTATATAGGTTTTGAAAGGCATTTGTAGATATACTTGTTTCAGTTTCGATATGTATATATGTGTATATATTTTTTGTTTTTGCAAGGGTGTACATTATATAAATAATAGAAATAATAAAAAGGTTAGGATTGATGGAAATAATAAAAATAATGGAAATGATGGAAATGATGGAAATAATAAAAAGGTTAAGATTAATGGAAATGATAGAAATGATGGAAATGATGGAAATGATAGAAATGATGGAAATGATGGAAATGATGGAAATGATAGAAATAATGAAAATAATGGAAAAAATGGAAATAATGAAAATAATAAAAACAACAAAAATATTAGAAATAATAAAAATAATGGGAATAACGAGAATAATCGAAATCAGTTATATGGTTTTAATTTTCAAAGCGCTTGAATAAATACAATGAATAGGATACTTAGATAGAAAAGGGTATGAATATAAGGCTTTTCGATTAAATATGCATTTGGAATTATCCATTTTCCGGCGCATCCTAATAAATATATTTGAATGTATTTTTTTTTAATGGTTTTGAAATTAATATGGATATAAGAATGGACTCGGAGATCAGTCTAAACCAATATTTATTTATATATTTGCATAACTATCAGCTTAATTTTCTGCAGAAATGTAAAAGGTCATATATAGATATAAATAGACATATAAAATAGAATCCTATAATGTTAAAGTTATCGCTGCCTGCTCCGAAAAATGATTTGTTTAGGCTAAGTGCTAAATATCAAATCTGCGTATAACTATGATTATAATCAAAGGAAAAAATAGATCATTATTGGATTTCTTTTAGCGATAAAGAATATATTGGTAAAATCGTAAAATCGTAGCTTACGTGCCGCGCACGTAATATTGCAATTGCAATTCAATATTTAAAAATGATACTTATATTCTGACTGCTCTTTAGAATGCAAATGAGCTAACTCCTTTTATACGATTAGAAGGAGTCACGTATACTAGCTAGCTAGTAGGTTTTACAGTCAAGTTAAGGGTCCTTTGAACCGCGTAACCTCTTAAGCGAGGCTTATTAAATGACCCGTAAATCCTGGTTGATGGATAAAATTGGCTATATTATCCCCAACTACATCTAACAGATTAAGGTCGATATGGTTAAACATAGGAGGGCAAAGGACCAAGTTCTTTATAATGTCATCAACGGGCTAGTCATTCGATTTATAAGAATATTAATATATTGGAATTCGATATTATAAAATGAATTATAATAATGAATAAATAAGTATAATAGTATTATTACGCAAGAAATAATTTATCTAATAATTTATCATAAAAAGAGACATTTGTAGACAGCTCTTTTTATCGGGAAAACCTTAGAAATTTTTGCGAATTACTTATATTTTAATAATTTACTATGAAAAGAGTGGGCTCCCACGGATTCTTGTGTCCTTCTTACGAGGGACGACGGGTATAAAATTCTGCCCTCCTTATAAAGAAACCTTACAAAGCATAAGGTTTCTTTATAAGGTTTATATTGTGGAGGAGTTGGGGCTCTGTATTTGTTTTGTCCATGTATATAATACTGATGCTAAGCACTTTTGTCACGTAGGTGCGCCGCATGCTTTAGCTTTGCTAAGCACGTAGTTAAGTTACGTGCAAGCTCTTATATAAACGAGTAGTTAGTTCTTCTTTAAACTAGCACCATATCATTATATAATATAATACACGTACTTATAAAACACATTCGAGTGTCTTTCGATCGTCTTCCTTTTCTTTTTTTATTTACTTACGATTTTATTATAATTATATTTATATATATTTTTTGATTCGACGTTAAGTATATATCGGAGCTTTTTCTTTTTATATATATTTAATAACTTACGCAAAGAATCGAATTAAAAGTTGGTTTTTATACTTTTTTTAGATTTGCTTTCTTTACGAAAAGCTATATATTCGAAGTTTACGTTATACGTTAAGCTATTGATTATATGCTTTTGCGATGCACTTTCGAAGAATATTCGATATACGTTAAGCTAATAATCAAGTGCTTTTATATATAAGCTTCGAAGCTATTGCTTTAAAAACGATCTTTTTTCGATTTGTGTTCGTCGAATATGCTATTCGATATATTCGATAAGTACTATTTAAAAAGTCGTTATTTTAATTCGAAGATCGAGCTAGCTAAAGTTTAATTCGGTATTTATAAAGTACTATTTATTTAAACTATTTTGCACGGCGATACGCTCGAAGTATTATTCGTTTAATATATTTTACTTTTTCGATTTAATATCGCTTTTAATACGAGTTTACTGCTCTTTCTTTTTAAAAAAAAAGCGAGCAGTAGCTAAGTACCGGAAATACTACGCTAAGCTTAAAAAGTTGAAAATTCAATACTTACTTCGTAACGAAGATTGCGTATAAAAACTTCGAATTGCTTTCGAACATCTTTCGCTATAATAAATAAAAGATACGACGAGCGGAAATAAGTATTATGCAATTCGGAACCGTTTTAGCGTCGTATTATATTAAAAGCAAGCTATATGCTTGTACGAAAGCTCGGCTATTATTCGACTTCGTTTTTATTTCGATATATTTAATCTTAGCAATTACTTTTCCGCTTATTATAAATCTTACGTTATAAAGCTAAACGTATTATTAAGATTATCTATTATATCGATTTAGTTTCGATTATTTAGCTCGAAGCGATCGACACTCGACTCTTTAATAAATCACTTTCGATGCATCGAGATCTTATATTTTTATAACGTTTTTTTATATACTTAACATTTATTATAAATTATACTTATTTTATTTTTGTTATTTATTTACATTTATATTATTTTCGTTCTTTTTTCGCATCCGTTTCAAGACACTTTTATACTTTAATCGATATCTATCAACTTAATTTAGCGGGCTTACGTTAAAGCTTTCGGAAATCAAAAAAAGCTATGACTTCTTCGACTTAAAAAGATTTCGAACTTAGCGAAAATGCTATTCGTAAGTTAACCGAAGATAAAGTAAAAAAGATTTAGACCTTTTTACTTTTCGTAAATGCTTTGAATTACGTAAGTATTCGTAAACCTTTTTTTAAACTTAAAGCTTTTAAAATGCTTGCTTTCGATAAAGCTAATATTATAAATTATATTCGCTAGTTCGAACGAGCGTTTAAAGATTACGGTATCGTTAGTAATTCGGAAAAGAAGTAGTGCTTTATTGAATATAATATTTTTAATTTTTTCGAGTATAATATACGTTGCAATATCGAAAGCTTCGAAAGCTTTTCGGATTCGAAAGTGACTTAAAACGAATTTAAATCGGTAATTAAAAAAGAATACAAAGCTTTCGACTTAGTTAAGTAGAAAGATAATATTAGCTTTTTAAACGACTTAAGCAATAAGTAGATAGCAAAAGAAAAAGCTTTTAAAGCAGAGCTTTTATAATTCATTCGACAATTCAACTTTACGAGCTTTGCTTGCTTAATTTATAAAGATATTACCGATAAACAGCTAAAGTAAAAGTTCTTCGAGTGCTTATTGCTATCGATGCAAAATCGGACTTGAAAGAATATTAAACTTAAAGAAGATTACTTATAATCTTATAATATAATATATATTATAATAAGCGATTTAATTAAGCAAAAACAAATCATTACGAAACGAATTAAAGAATACGGCTACGCTAAGATCTTTAAAGCTTTTTTTCGCTATAATCTTTATTAAAACGAAAACTCGCGTTTTTAAGTACCGTTTATCATTCTCGAAAGCAAACGAAACTTATACGTTTTACTTCTTTATAACACTTATTTCGATAATATTTATCTTTCTTTTTCTTACCGCGTAAGCATTACCGCTGCGAGTTCGATTACTTTATTCGTCGATCTTAACTTAAAGATCGAAGCTCTTATAAAACAGTTAGCGAAAGTTAATATTTATTTAAAACTTATCGATAGCTTCGTATCCGTATCGAAAGAAGCTTATATGAACTTATTAAAAGCAGCTTAATATAAAGAGACTTAAAAGATCGCTTTGCACCGAGTCTACGAGATTAATACGGTCGATACTTATTCGAATTAAAGCTACGTAATATCGAAAAAGAAACGGTCGTTAAACGATTTTACGTGTATTTTTTATTAATGCTAGCAGACTATTAATCTACTTAACTATTAATAAAAACCTTATAAATATCAGAATTAATGCTACTTGTTTATGCTTTAATACGGACTAGCCTTTTACTTTAACGAAGCGGACTTAATATATGTCGGATTATATTAAAAAAAAATACTATCGATCTCGTTTTAATTTCGAAACGATACTTTTAAATACGAGTAAGTTTTAAAAAAAGTTCGTAAAACGATAAATGATCTTAATTTAAAGCGACGTTAAAAAGCTTTAAAAGCATAGCGAAAGTCTATTAAAAAAGCTATACGAAAACGCGTTAAAGCGCTTATTCGAGCAGTTAACGGCGGCAATGCGAAAGCTTTTCGTATTAACGATTTTAATACTTCGAATATGATTCGCTAGCGATGCATTATATTAACGGATTTATATGCTCGCGTA